CAAAAATCCACAATAATGGGTTTTGAGGTCAACCCCATAAAGAAAGGCAGAGTTTGGACGAAGTCTAAGTGTCACACATTGTCCCACATTTATTATCGAGTGGTTTAGTAAAATACGTTGATAAGGAAGAAAATTTGATGCCGGTCTTTCTTGCTTCTTGAAAGTCAACCCCATAAAGAACGGCAGAGTTTGGACAAATCTAAGTGTAACTTATTGTCCCACATTTATTATAGAGTGGTTTCCTAAAATACGTCAAGGAAGAAAATTTGATACCGGTCTTTCTTGCTCTTGGCTGGGATAATATACTTTTGTGTATGAAATTTAACATGCCATTAATTTTAGTCCTGTAAAGTGAATTTTAATGTAGATTTTATTACGAGATTTTTTAAAAATAAAATATTAAACATGCATATAAATATTTTTCACTATACTTAATTCACATATTTTTTATTGTTATTTTTAATAGGGATTTTCTACCCTCAACATTGTTTCTTATTTTCTATCTTCTTTTATTGGAAAGTGAAGGGTAGAAAATTTGATAAGAAAGTAGTCAGTCCCTATATCTGGTCCCATTCCGTCCCTGTCCTTCAAATAATTTTCTTTGTTTCTACTAAGGAGTTTCTAGGATCAATCTGATTTAATTTCATCGTGAAAGAAAATGTAAGATTAGCTAAGCAAAACGGAAATATCACAGAAAAATTCCATTGCCATGGCCCTACAAACCTTGAAAACAGCTATTTTGGTTTCCAAGAAAATAAAAGCAGAAAGAAACGAGGAGAAAGCAGTGCAGCGAAGGATTCACACTAAAGACATCATATATCTGGTTATCTCAACCTATTCATCTCACAAATACAATCTCTTTTTGTCTCTCAGAAGAATTAATTCTCTCACGTTTGCAATCCTTCTGTGTAGCTACTAAGCATTTCGAATCTGGTAAGTGAGTCTTTTTCTCATTTCTTGGCTTTGGTCTCAAAGCTTTCACGAATTCTCACAAACACAATATATGTCTTCTTGTCTCTCAGAATTCTTGTCTTGTGCTTGCTATCCTTGTGCGGGGCTAGGCAGTTCAAATCTGGTAAGTAATCAAGTCTTTTGCTCATTTCTTGTTGGCTTTTATTTCAAAGCTTTGAGGAATTTCTTTTGCATTTTGCTAGAGGCTTAAGCCATAAGCATTACAGGCCCAACTTGTGCTCCGTCAATAAGTAGATGTCATAAACCAGTAATTGTTATTTTGAGCTAAAGATCAGTAGACTAATTAATTATAGGTTAAATGATAATTTTAATCCTTCAACTTGAAGGTTTTGCAGAATTTCCATCCCTCAACTTTTTTTTATGTATGTTTTTAATTTTTTAATTATAAAAAATATACTTTTTTTAGTTTTCAGTTAATCAATTAAATTTGTCTAAATACGCATATTTTTAGTTCTCAACTTTTAATATATGCATATTTTCATCAATTTTAAATTAAAAGATTAAAAATATACATATTTAAATAAATTTGATCGATTAACTGATGAAAAAACTAAATAAGTGCATTTTTCAAAGTTGAAAGACAAAAAAAAGTGCACAAAAAAGTTGAGGGGCAAAAATTATGCAAAACCTTAAAGTTGAGGTTGAGGGACTAAAATTACCATTTAACCTTAATTATGTATAACCGAAATTCTGTTTAGTCAGTTTAATCAATGGCTAATAGTTAGATTAACAAACCAGACAGATTTTTGCAGAACCAATCCTAGCAAAAGGCATAGAAATGACTAAGATAGTTAAATCATGCGATTTACTTCACAAAAATGCCATAAAATCATTAGAGAGATCACAGCAAGCTTATTGACAGAATCATCTAAACATGAAGTAACTTTAAACTGAGATATCAGCAGAGTAGTTGGGTTGGTAAGTTTGCAAAGGTGCTCCAGCCGAATTCCGGCCCAACTCTGCAGTTTCCGACAACTTAAAAAATTTCAAGAAAAATTCCGGAAAATTTTCTAAAAATAGGAAAACAGATCCTAAACCTAAACCAAGCTCAACGGAACCCCTTTTACACGATAATTTCACAATTTCATGGCCAAATCAAGAAATCCCCAATGCAAAGTAAACATAGAATGAAACTCAGAATAAATTCACAAGAAATTCAAGAGCAAACTCAGATTCCCACTTAATATCAAGGTATAATATACATAAAATAAATCAAAACAAAATGATATCTATCTCCGTAGTAACTTTCGGATTCCGAAAACAAAGCTCAGACTTTCTATTGCTCTTGACTCTTCGCTCTCCTCTTTGGTCCATTCTTTTTCTTTTTTTCGCTCCCTCTCCTCTCCTGAAATCCTTCTCCCTTTTATAGGCAAAATCGGGGGACGGAGACACAGAACCCCAGCCATCCGATTACCTTCCCTCTATCCCAACCGCTCCTCACCTAGCCTTGCTGCCCACCTACAACCACTCTAGATTCCCTGCAGCCTGCAAGTTGCTACAAGCTTGTGACCTGATAGGATCGACGGGATCCCGATCTTATGGGAAGGGATGGATTAGGGGAGGAAATGGAGGAATCAGTCAGATTCCCCGACCTACCCTGTGCGATCCCCAGTCCAACACCTTTTATTTTTCTTACTAGGTTTCGACCAAAACGACGTAGTTTGACCAACTTTTGCACTTAAGTCTTCAATTTCTACCCAGATGACGTTTTAGTCCTTTCATTTGTCCGTTCCTTAATTAGTCCCTGCAAACTAGTCATCCATTAAAATATTTTTTTTAATAGTCCATTAAAATATTTTCAGTTGAATACTTACTGTCAATAAATTCAAATAAAATCTCTATTTCTTTTTGGCAATTTTTCATGTTAATTACCCACATTAAATTTTTTTTTCTTCCAACGATTCCCCCTATTAAATGAAAACTTAACAATGTACAATTTTTCATTTTAAACTAAAAAAGCAGTGGGGAATCAATTTTGAGAGTAAAAACCAAGATATTTTGAAAATATTTGAATTAGGCAAATATTCATCGAGTTTGTTACTAAGTTCTAGAAAAATGGAGACAAAAAGTTTAGATAAAAATTTGAGTTATAAAAACTTATATTTTATATTTTATTAATTTTTTTGTAATTTTATTTCTTAATTTGTTCTCTCATATTTTATGATTTTATTTATTTATTTACTTATTTACTCTTCATCTACCCTCATTTTATCTATATATTTAATATTTACTTTTCATTATTCTTTCAACTTTTATTCTTATTTTCTCAATATTATTCTTTTTTTTGTCACTTCCTGCATTTCTTAATTATTATATATCATTTCTCTCTCTCTCTCTCTCTCTCTCTCTATATATATATATATATTAGAATTATTTAAGATTTTCTCTTGTAAGGGCCTTTACTTTACTATTTTTTATAATTTTTTGATAGTTTAGACTTTTGAGAAAGAAAATATTAAAACATTTTTAAGTTCTTTGCAAAGGCTGCTTCTTTATTTTTAAATTTCTTGTAAGCACTCATACTTCATACTTACATTTAAGTAATTTGTTTAAAACTCATTTTGTAACTTTCAATCTGGTTTTTCAAATTAATATAGTCATTATCAAGTTGATACACATTGACTCTACGTATTACATCGTATTACTATATGTAACTATTCATAATTCTTTGATATTTTAAAACATATTTTTAAGAAATACATTCATTCAAAGTTATCTATAGTTTAATCATTATTCTTCTAGTCCTCAAATAATTCTGAAAAGGAATCAATTTACGAAAAACCACTTTGAAAATAATATAATGTGTATTTGTGCTAATCATATTATATTATGTTTTTATCTGTAAAATAGTTTATATCACGGGTACAAAGGGTCCTCAAACCCATTACAATCCGTGCTAATCATATTATATAATTGAAGTAGAATTTAGATTATATATTTTGATAAGTTGTTTTCAACTTTAATGATATAAAGATGTAGATGTTAGATTATTATATGGTAATTGAAATGGAATTTGAGAACAATTGGTAAGAAATTTGATATAATTAGAGCATTATAAAGTATTATTACATAAAGAATTGATTTAATAAGGAATTATATATATTGTGTTCATCAAGAAATTTGAAAGTTTATTAATTTAATTTAATTGAGTTTAAACTTTCTAATGAAATTTTTAAGAGGTCTATTGGGAATTTATTTGATATTTTAAAGAGATTTTAAAAAACTCATTTGGTGTTTATTCAAGATTTATTGAAAATTTTAACAATTTTTATAATATAATAAGTCATAATGGAATTTGAATTTGAACCATTATGTAGTTAAAGTTGTCAAACCAATTTGGATCAAAAGTATACAAAGGGAAGGTATTGGGTTCATTACCTTTTTTTTGTCAAATTAGTTTGTAAAATCAAATTGAGGTATTGATAATTAAAATTATAATTATTTATTGAAAATTTTAAAATGACAATTGGATATTACTTGATATTTTAGAGGGATTTTAAAAGGTTCATTGGATATTTATTCAATATTTATTGAAGATTTTAACAAGTTTTGTAATATAGTAAGGTAAAATTGTATTTGGATTTTAAAAGATTCATTATGTATTTATTTAAGAATTTGAAAGGTTAGTTGGATATTTATTTAGTATTTATTGAAAAATTTTAAAAGGATTATTGTTTACTTATTTGAGATTTATTGAAAATTTTAATAATTTATATAATATAATTAAACATAATTGAGTTTGTATTTTAAAAAGTCAATGGGTATTCCTTTGGTATTTTTTTTTAAGACTCTAAAAGGTTCATTGGGTATTTGTTTACTCTCTTTGATTATTTTGAATAGTTTTAATTTGATTTTTTAACTTATATATATATAAATTTGAGGTGAAATTTTAACAATTTATATGAATAATAATTAAAATTTTTCCCCATATGTAATTCTTGTTGAGTATTTTTACTTGATCAAAAACATTTTCAATTATTATTTATATAATATATTAAATTTTCATCTAAAATTTATGTCTAAAAAATAAAAAAAGTCAAATTAAAATTATTAAAAGTAAACAGAGGAAGTAGTTTTTATTGAAGATTTTAATAATTTTTATAATATAATAAGATATGCATGTTCTTACCTACTATGGGTGTATCTCTGCATAGTAAAGAATTTTTTGTTTTGCAATTTAAATTGTATTGGATTATAATATAAATTATTAGAAAAGAAAAACAATTTTTATATCAAGAAATTCATTCTTATTCAATAATTTATATTTTATAGTTCAATATAATTTATATAATATAATTCTTTTTAGATATAAAGTAAAGCATAAACCCTGATAGTTTTGATCTTAGATGTTGTATTATAGATTAAGTTTAGAGTTCAAGACTTAAATCTAGCACTTAAGGAAATTAGTTTTATTAAATGCTTTAGGCCAATGTAAGATGTGCGTTTCTAAATTTGCATTGAGAAAAATTAGTTTCGAAATGTATAAAAATTGACTTGAGGACATTTTAATCATAAATAATAAAAAAGAGAGAGTAAGGTACAGCACAAAGTGAAAGAATTCCTTAAATAGTTAAGTTACCCTACCTAAAATAAAATAAATATGAACATAACCTTCTTCAATTTTCTTTATTAAGAGGGATAAATAAAAGTAAAGCACTAAAAAACAAAAGAAAGAGAAAGCAATGTAGTGAGACAATCACACTAGAGAGCCATCATAAATATATGCCGTTAGGTGAATCTGGTCATCTCTACTAAGCGTTCTCACCAACACTATCTTCTTCTCATTTTTTTGACTTCGGTTTCAAAGCTTTCAGGTGGTTAAACCAAAGTATCAAGAGTCCTGCCTGTGCCACCTTAATTTAGAAGTGGCTAGGTATGGAGTCTATGGGCCGTGACTAATGCATTGGGTGAAGACATAGGTTGAAACTCATTTATTAAAAGGTTTTAAGGCTAGCAGATGAAGTTTAAACCTTTAAGAGAACTTGGTATCTGAAATAATATAGATAGGAATTTTATATCAAATCAGTTTGGATATTTGGATTGGAAACTTTACATAGTTTAAATCCATATTGTCCAGCTCAATAAAATTGTTCATTGCAAAATCTATATCACAATGTAGATGGTAGTTTCTACATCAGATCCCAAACTCCTAATGCAATTTAACCATAACATGTACATGCCTTAGAAAACTTTCCAAAACAATTAGACCTTAGAAGTTATGGGTAGAGTACGAGTTTGTCTTACCAAGTCTTAGGCACCAAAGCATACACTCCTGCTCCTAGGCCCCAAAGCACTTCTCCACTCTAGGCTTAGGGCTAATATGTAAAGAATAGTAATTGATATCATGAGCTACAACACAATTAGTACATGTTATAGACAAAGTTATAACTGAAATTCAGTTAGTCAACACTATGGAGTGGTGGTAGAAATTTTGTTCCTTACTTCCTTTTCTGATGCTTGATGAAGTTCCTTTTCAACACCTTGTAACAAGTTTTTAACTCGTTAAGCCATAATGTGAAAAGGCAACAGTGGTTTTTTTGTTTTTTTTATTTAAAATAGGTAGCAGTTGGTATCAGGATCACAACGTTATTTTCTTGTTTCATAATTTCATGTGTGCATCTGCAGCCAAGATTTCTCAACACCAAAACAGAATGGCTGAAACCATCCTCAGTCCTGTTATTGATGAGGTAGTTTCCAAGCTAACTTCCTCAGCTGCTGAACAAATTTACCTTGCATGGGGTTTCGAGAAGGAGCTTGTGAGCCTTAAGGAGTCACTAGTTATGATTCAAGATGTTCTCCAAGATGCAGAGAATAAACAAGAAGGTGATGCTGCTGTAAGGTGCTGGCTGCAGAAGCTCAAAGATCTAGCCTATGATGCGATGGATGTATTGGATGAGTATGTTTATCATCTTCTCCAGCTGAAAGTAGAGACTCAAGGCCAAAAGAAGCAACAAGTGTGTTTGTTCTTTTCTCGCTCTAATCCAATCGTGTTTCGTCTCAAAATGGCTAATAAGATTAAGAAAATTAATGAGTCTCTAGCTAAAATAAAAGGAGATGCAGTGTTTCCTATGTTGAGTAGAGGCAAATTAACTCTGCATGTTAGTCAAAACCCTAAAACAGATTCCTTCCTTGATTCAAACCCAATAGGAAGGAGTGATGATGTTTCTGAAATAATAAGCCAGCTAAGTAAACTTAGGAGTCAGCATTCCATGTCTGTTGTTTCTATAGTAGGCATGGCTGGCATTGGGAAGACAACTTTGGCAAAATCAGTGTTCAAAGAAGTAAAAGAAAAAAAGCTTTATGATGTAGTAACATGGGTTTGTGTTTCTGATCGTTTTGATGAGAAAGACATTTTAGGAGGAATGCTAGAATCTCTTGATAAAACTGCAGGGGGAATAAACAACATTGATGCAGTACTTCGCCATCTTGAAGCTGAGTTGGAAAAGAAAACCTTCCTTCTCATTCTTGATGATGTGTGGAATGAAGATTCTAACAAGTGGGATACCTTCCTCAGTAGCTTGTCCAAAATTGTGAAAACCACTGAAAATTCTATTATTGTAACAACTCGCAGTGGTCGAGTAGTATCTGCAATAGAGAGATTTCCTGTGCATAAGCAAGAAATGAAAGGATTGTCAGATGATGAATGTTGGACTATAATCAAGGAGAAAGTGCATGGATTTGCAAAAAGACCAATAGATGCTAATTTAGAAGCTATTGGGCAAGATATTGCAAGAAAATGTAAGGGCTTGCCATTAGTTGCTAATGTGTTGGGAGGAACAATGGGCTGCCAGATTGGAGTGGAAGAGTGGTTGGCTATCAAGAATAACAATGTGTGGAATTTACAAGACAATCAGAAGATTGTACCGATTCTAAAGATAAGCTTTGATCGTTTGTCTGGGCCTCTGAAGAAATGTTTTGCTTTTTGTTCAATTTTTGAAAAAGATACTACTATGGAGAAAGATGAGCTAGTGCAACTCTGGATGGCAGAAGGTTTCCTGCACCCACGTGATGGAAGCGATTTGACAATGGAGGATGTTGGTGATCAATACTTTGATGATTTGTTATCCAATTCCTTGTTTCAAGATATAGAAAGAAATAAAATAGGGGATGTGGAATGGTGTAAGATGCATGATGCAGTGCACGATCTTGCATTGTTTGTCTCCGATGGTGAATCTTTGATTTCGGATCAAACTAGTTCCATTGATGAAAATTCTAAAATTCGGCATTTGAGGGCCAAGTCTAATGGGGAAGTGCTTCCAAGGGGAGTTTCTCAAAAGTTGCATTCTTTGTTCTTTGATGCTGATATTGTTGTCCACCACATTGCATCAGATCTTAAAAACTTGCGATCTCTAATAACGTTGGGAGCTTGTAGTGAAGAAGATCTATCAATTTCTCTTGGCAAAATGAAGCATTTGAGGTACCTTGATATCTCAAGAAGTAAAATTAAAGTGCTACCGAAATCATTCTCTAAACTCTACAACTTGCAAACTTTAAAGCTCATGTGGTGCAATCATCTCGAGAAGGTACCCGATGACATGAGAAATCTTGTTAGCTTGAGGCATCTTTATTTCAGTAGTGAAAAGCATATGCCAAAGGAGATTGGGCACTTGACTTCCCTTCAAACATTACCACTATTTGTTGTGGGAGTAGAAAAGGGATATAGAATTGAAGAACTTGGATGCTTAAGCCAACTGCGAGGGGAATTGGATATTCAAAAACTTGAAGATGTAGGATCCAAATTAGAAGCCTCTAAAGCAAAATTAAAAGAAAAGAAAAAATTACAAGGGTTGATATTTACATGGAGTGCAAAAAAAGAAGCCAACAACAACATCAACGTTGAAGAGGTTCTAGAAGGTCTTCAACCTCACCCAAATTTGAAGAGCTTAGTTATTTGGTCTTACCAAGGAAAACACTTCCCGTCATGGATGCAGGTTGGTGTCAATAGTTCACTCAACAACTTAATGAAGTTGAAGCTATGCTATTGCAATGAATGCTTATATCTTCCAAGCCTCGGTCTATTGTGTAATCTCCAATTTCTTGAAATTGAGGGGATAAAGAAGGTAAAAAGCATGGGTAGCAAGTTCTATGTGGACCAAAGCAACAGTGAAGATGAAGTAGGATCAGCTACACAGTTCCTAGCTGTAAGAGAATTCAGTGTAGTAGAAATGGAAAGCCTTGAGGAATGGGTAGAAGCAGAAGGTGTGACCGTGTTTCCTTGTCTTGAGAGGTTGTATATTGAGGATTGTCCTGAGTTGAAGACTTGGTCGATGGGTGGATTTTCATCTAATCATAAGCTGTCCTCTTTGAGAATAAGCAGATGTCCCAAACTGGTGGCTATACCAACTATGGACCAGCTCTCATCTCTTAAAAATTTTTCTATAGCCGAATGTTATGAATTAATGAGTCTACCAAGTGGATTGGGATCCTGCGTTTCTCTTCAGGAGCTGACAATTTCTGAATGTCAAAAACTGTCTTCCATTCCAAGAATAAATGGGCTCACATCTCTCACAAGGCTTCAGCTTCTTAATTGTGATGAATTAACAGACCTACCAATTGGACTGGGATCCTGCACTTTTCTTCAGCATTTGGATATTTTGAATTGTTACAATATAATTTCAATTACTGAAGATATTGGGGAATTACATTCTCTCCGTCAACTAGACCTCCGTGATTGTGGAAAGCTGAGGAACATTCCAGAGGAGTGTGTTGGTAGACTCTCCTGCTTGAAGTGTTTATGGATAGGTGGTTTCTGGTCGGAGTTGGAGGAATTTCCTGGACTAACTTCCATTCATCAGCTCCACGCCTCCCTTGAAGAATTGTACTTGTTCGGATGGGATAAACTGAAGTCTCTGCCAGATCAGCTTCAACATCTCACTGCCCTCAAGAGATTGACGTTACGGAACTTCGATGGCCTGGAAGCTTTGCCAGAGTGGTTGGGAGACCTCTCTTCTCTTCACAACCTGCAGATTTGTGATTGCTCTAATTTGACTCATCTGCCTTCTATTGAAGCCATGCGACGCCTCTCTAACTTACAATCTCTTGAAATTTTGCTTTGCCCCAAATTAAAAGGAAGATGTGCCAAAGAGAGCGGCCCCGAATGGGCCAAGATTTCCCACATCCCCAACATCAGAATAAATTTTGAGCACCTGCAGCGGCAATCCGAATGAGAGAGTGTGAGGTATGTTTAATTTCTTAAACCTAAACTGTTGGGTATAATGGATTCATAACATACACTTGCAAGCTTGATGAAACTTGGTTCTTCATGCAGGGTTGAGTGTTGTGACTGTGATTGGGCCGCTTAGAGTTCATAGAAGCTAGCAAGTCTTCAAATTCTGTACTTTATATTATTTTCTTTAAATTAATGGCTTTTATTTTTTTGGCATAAACACACATGGCGTGCGATTCTTCCAAGTTATGTCTAATGTATCTAAACACATGTAAGTGTAAAGCTTGAGGGTGTGAGAGCCCAGCAGCAGGAGTAATTACTACATGCTTTCGGTTTTTAAGGTACATATACAGATTTCTTTTCTATGATACTGTTTTTGGATTTTGATTATGATTTTTTTTTGTCTGATCAGTTTACTTGTTTAGCTTAATTTTGTTCATCTATTTTCTTTTAGAAATTTGTGGGCTTGGGAATTTTCTTGCTTTAATGAATTTGAAATCTTGGTTAAATTATGTCTGTTAAAGAATACTTGGATGATCCTTCTGATTAATCTTTTAAATTCTTTGTACAACTTCAACAATAATGAAAAATTTGTTTGGATGGACCGTTGGTGTCATTGATGATAACAAGATTCAACTCATTAAGCATTGAGGACTGCATTTTGTTTCTGCTCTTATCTAAATCTTCTTAAACTTATAAATAAAAACAACTAATTGAACTTCTACCAAAATAAATAAATAAATAAACTACCTGGACAGAATTGACAGATGAAAATATTCAGTGTTGCTAATAGTCTCTTGAGTGACAATGTATATCTGTGTTTCACTTTTGTTGTTGAATTTGAAACAAATCATCCTGTGCTCCAACCACTTGCCTTTGTGTTATAAGAAATATCATGTTCTTTACTTAAGTAACAGTGACATGGTTAGTTTAAATTTTTTTGCTATTTTATTTATTTTGCTTTTTACTTCACCTCTGAATTCTGAAATCTTAAATCTGAACTATGGCAGGGAATATGTCAAGTTGAATGAGAAAGGAAGAAGAAGACACCAGATGTTGATGATACTGCTGATTGCTTTTGTACTTTAGTCTTGCTAAGAGAAGATGATGTCAGTGACTAAGAAATTGTGCTTGTTGAATTAATGATTGGTATTTCACCAAAATATATCTATTTTATCTGTAAGTTCTCATTAAACTTAGGAAACTAGTATCTAATCTAATATACGTGGGGCAATAGTGTAGACTTGTTTCTTTGGCATTTTTCTATTCTTTATTGGCTTCAACACTCCACATTGACAGCAATGTTGCACATGGCAAGCTTATTCCTCATTCCTCATTCCCAACTTCAGAACATCAGAATAGATTTGCACACTCCAATATGCCCGAGGTAAGTTTAATTAATCAAACCTACATTCATTGATTCATACTTAAAATTTTCTCAGATGTGGTGACTAACAACTAACGACCAGGAAGTTCAGGTTCCTTAAATGTACTAGCTAATCATTTTGTTTCAGTAGTGTTTTCTGTTAAAATGGCCAACTAATGAAAAATTTTGGCATTTTCTATAGAATTATTTTCAAAAAGTTTTCTTTTGTCCTTATTATCCTGAAACTCGTTGATCTTAAGTTGATTAACATTATTGTTTTATTTAAATATAGATTGTGCATTTCGGGTACACATGAGACTTGGGTGCTGAAATCTCTCTTTGTTAAATCATATGATTGGTTCAAAATGCTCCCATAAGGTGTTGCACAGCTAGTGAGTACTGAAATTCCTTCCTATGCTTATTTTTCCAGAAAAAAATCTTTTGTTCATTATTCATTTTTTGCTAATTGCATAGCTCTTAATTTATTAATAAATTAATCCGTATTGTTGGAATTATTGCTAGAAACGTGGCATTCAAATCTGCAGAAATAATGAATTGAAACTGCCATGAAATGGCAGCAATGAGGCTGAAAATTGACAGCAAATGAAGCTGCAATTTTCAGCAAATATGGCAGCAATTAAGCTGCAAATCTGATGAAAATGAAGCTGTCAAATGACAGCAAAAATGTGTAGCAAGCTAAGGTGCAAATGTTGATGAAATGAGGCTGCAATGAACAGCAAATTACATGTAAATGCAAATGAAAGGCTGCAAAGAGGCTGCAGAGTTGCCAAGAGGCTGCAGAGTTGCCAAGAGGCTGCAGAGCTGCCACAGGATGCAAGCATGCAGCGGCAAAAGTGGCTGTTACTCATTTCAAAATTCAAATGTACATTTATTGTTTTTTAATGTAAAATAGTTGTTTGAATTTTGAATTATTTAAAGATTGTATTCTCCTATAAATAGGAGAGATTATTAATGAGAAAAGTTGAGTTGAAGTCATATACTTCTCTCCATTTTAGATTATGCTCTGCTCTTCATCATCTTCCTCCCGATCTGCTCTCACCATTTATGTCTTTGTTTAAAGAATCCCAACATGTATTTCAACATTTTATGTTGAGTTCTCCGTAGAGGCCCAAAATTCAATAGGTGAAGAATTCAGATTTAGAGATACATTTGACATATAGCTCTATTGAGGTTGGTAAATAGAATAAATAATCTTTCTTGCCGATTTATTATCCGAAACACTGCTAAAAACAGTTGTCTTCTTGTTTATTATGCAATCAACATATATAATACGATATATTTTTTCTTTTTGTACAAACTTTCCCATTCCCAACAAAGTAAGACATGGTGGAATCAAGGACTTGCAAAATTAAGTTAAGAGTTTGCACCTTCTGTATTGACAGAAAATTTAATGTACCTTATATATTGTTAAAGTGTCTTTAAGCTTTTTATTTCATAATCAAAGTCCTTTTCTAATTCTTTGGCATCAAAGCAATGGAGTAGCTCTCAACTATTTTAGTTCAAAAAAGTTGAATGCAAGCAATCTTTCCTGCTTTGAATCCAAAATCTTAAACAAATGACAAGTGATTTCCGATTATTTATTGTGTTTTTCTTTGAGTTGTTGGTTCCCACAAAATTCAGCATAGTTCCCAGGTCCTATCAGTCAGATGCTGACAAGATCTGAGGTGCAAGTTGACTGATGTACATATCTATCTTTGCTTGACAAGGTTTCAAGTTACATGGGATAATAAAGGTAGTCGAGTTACTCAAAAAGGATATTGGCTTCTCTGTCAAGTGTCAAGGTGTAAGCCGAAGTTTGTTGAGGTTTGACTTCTTCCGTTGTAAATGTATCTGCCCTTGATAGAATAGCAAGTTTTTGGTATACAAATCTCAGTTTTCAATGCTTGGGCTGACTAGTCTTGATATGATGTAGGAGATGACAAAGAACGTGAAGATGATATTTCAGTTCTTTTTTCTCTCGTGGATTGAATTGGGATATGCAACTAAATAGAAAAAACATGCCAAGATAATGTCCAAGATAATGTCTTCAAACGTATGTTCCTGCAGTATATACCAATTGCCAAGATGTTCTTTTTTCTCTTACCATGCAATGGTATGATCTTATCAAATGCCACTCATAGAGTTCATTGGTAAGTCTTTAAAATGTGTTTCTGTTTCCAAGAAGAAAAAACCGTTTTTTCACTATAAATTTGTTTTTTTGTCCCATTTGATTCTGAAAATGTAGTCTCTATTTCTTCAGTGGATCTGTCTGAACTGATGGGAAAATATGGAGATTTTTACGATTTTTACCAAGGCACAAATGTGATCAAGTAGATGAACTTGTGGTCTTAGCCTCTACCTAGAAGTTTTTCTAAGTATGTATTCTTACTTTCTAGCTTATGTATATGTGATTAATAGATTAATGATTTTTAGTTTAAATGCTAGATTAATATTTTGAAAAGGGAAGCGATTCTATTTTAGGTTTCAGTAACACTTCTGGCGTTTATGAATTTGCTGCTCATGGATGATAGCTACAAGGCTTCATCTTTAAGGGTATGTTTTTTCTATAATTATGTTTTTGGATTTTGATTGGATCTATTATTTGTTTCATCGACTTCTTTGTTCAGCTCAATTTTGCTAATCTATTTTATTAAAAAAAAGATACAGGAAAGTACCTACCCTGCTCCGAATTCAATATCTTGAAAAATCGAGGCTGGTTTCCTCTCCTTGAGTTGTTAATACCTGACAAACAAATTCAGCTGCAGTTTTCAGGTACCTTATTGTTGATGATTGTAGCATTTTATGTTTTAAGTTTATTGGTATACATATCCATCTTTGCTTTGATCAAAGTTTCAAGTTTTCTTGGATTTTCCAATTATAACGTAGTTCTTTTGAAAAGATAATTTTTTTTTTTTGGTATTAACCTCCCAGTGTCCAGTAACCACTTTGGGTCCCGACTAATTTGGAATCGAGCCGCGTCGGACCCCATTAGGGGAGAAGCTCTCCCAGAGCCTGTTTCTCCATTCACAAGATTCGAACTCGAGACCTTGCTTAAGGGGAACCGAGCTCCTTCCACTCGGCCCAACAAATCGTTGGTTTTTGAAAAGATAGATTGTTAAATTAAAAAGGCTTCTTTTTTTTTTTTTTTTTTTGTGTTTGATTGCGTTTTTGTTTAGTAGGATTACAATTAAAGAAATTTGATTATATTTTTGTTCTAAAAACATGAACTTTTGCCAATAAGAAAACAGATTCTCAGAGACTTGATTACATCTGCTACTTCTACATAGCAAAGTCAACGCTTTGAATACTTGTAATAATGCGTATCGATCATAGGTTCATAGTACCACAGATGTTTTGTTTTGTTAAACCTCCACAACTACATCTTCATTGCATTCATCTTCCCTAATTTCACATCAAACATGCTACGATATATATTTTAAAGCTCTCTGATTTCATCCTCATTGCATTCATCTATTCTGAGTGCAGAAGTTTCTCCAGTGCCTGCGAATACCTCAGAGCCTCTTGAGAGGCAATGTCTCTTACCAACAGCACCTAGTGTTTTGTACAATTGAAGCATTGTTGACCTTTGACCTGGATATGGCTGAACACACTCCAATGCAATTCTAAGAAGCTGAATGATTTCTTGATCAAATCCTTGCCCCATCAGAGATCTATCAACAATGCTATAGAAGATGGAGCTTGCGGAGAGATGTGCAACCCATTCATCGAGTGCTTGATTGCCAGTGTTTGGGTTCTAGGATTCTCTCCGGTGATCAGCTTAAGAAGCAAAATTCCGAAGCAATAGACATCCTCCTTGCAATGCTTGACTCCAAAAACTCACCATTAGCCAAGAGGCTTTTGGTTGAATCAGTGCCATTTGGTTTCAAGAGCATTGCCTCTTCAAAGTTTGATAAAACTAGCTTGAAATTCTCATCAAGATAGATGCACTTGGAGCTAATGTCAAGATGGGCAACATGAAAGTTACACTTGTGATGGAGCTAAACCAGGCCTTTTGCTACCCCAGTTGCAATTTGGACCCTTAAGGGCCACTCCATGATTCTTGCCTCACCTTCCTTTGGATGTAGCCAATCATGAAGACTTCCTTTTGGCATGTATTTGTAAACCAGAAGTCGACTGTATGCAGAATCCCAAAGGGGCAAGAGGTTCTCATGCCTCTATCTACCCAAGGTCTTTAGTTTTCTTATGAAATTCTCAACAAGTTCTAAGCTAACGAACAAGGATTTACCAAATTTGGCATATAATTAGTAGAAAATTTCATATCTATGAATTCTCATGGATAAAATTCATAAAATATGCAGAAGTTACAAAGCCGAACAAGTGAATTCAAACAATTAATCAAGCCCAATAACTGGAATTCAACAACAAATTATTAAGTCTACAATATAAAATTTCTCATAAGTTGAATTCAACATTAGTAATCAAATGTCTAAAATAAAAGTAATCAAATAAACTTGAAGCAAATAATGTTTAAAAGAATAAAACAAAAATAAATAATTTATGTTCTCAAGGTATTATTGACGATGGAGCTGGGCCTAGTTTGGGAAGAAAGGTAGAAGCCCAATGCCAGACCTAGCTGAAAAATGGCTGAAATTCTTTAATTTTGTGAAATCACGATTTTATGCACACAATTTTTTATTTTTTATTTTATATTAGGTTAGATTAAGGATGGTAATTTTCTTCATTTATTAATATATTTTATCTATATATTACATAATTTAAATTTAATATATTTTATTTTTATTGAAAATAATTAACACTAAATTATTTAAATTGTTAATAATTTTACAATTTTACTTTCAATTTTGCTCTAGATTTCATGGCAACTAATTCCGTCCGTAATCCAACTTGTTTCCTTGATATTTTTACGAGTTAACCCACAAATTTGACCCGTGCAAATGATATATGTATACTTTTTTTTAATATAATTTT